AGGAATCTCATCCACCCCCGGTGCCTTGCCACTGAATAGCTTGCCACCTACCTCAGTGACCTCCACCAGGGAAATGGAGCTTGACATGCCAGAAGCCTCTGGCCCTGACTCCCATGAGGGAGGCATGTCTCTCGAATTAAGGAGACCAGCCACAGACCAGCAATATCCTCATTTGAAGTCAGAGTTTCTCCACTCCTGCTGAATACAGCTTGGGCAAAGCCACCCCGACCGCTCGTAATCATGTTTCTTCCAAATAGCTTTATGTAACCGTAGTGTAAAATTAGAATACTTTTAAATATAATAATCTGTAAGCTCAATAGTGTTCTTGTAATAGTTACTATTGAAACAGTAATAATGGTTATATATATGAAATTGCATCCTCATTTGCTCTTTTGCTTAAGTTTTAACCACACTCAGAAACCTCTGTGAAGTCATTTTATGACGAAACTTGAGCAGACATGCAAAGAAATTGCGTATTCATTAGATATAGAGCGCGAAAACTCTTTTTCCCACTTTAGCTCCGCCCACCAGAGTATAACTGAGAGACAAGCAAACACATGATCAGATGGAGGGAGAGAAAGAACGACTATGTAACGCCAAAGAAATGACAAGAAGCCCTCTCCCAAAATGCACTTTAAATCTGCAGATATTACATTCTAGTGTATTTTTTCATGTTCATGTCTCAGTATTTTTGATCAGTTTGTTTGTTGTCATTCACTCTGTAATCTTGAAGAAGTGTTGGTAACTGTTAGGCTCACTGCGTTTGCATGTTGAATAGCCTATCCTGGCTGTGTTTTTAAGTTCATTGATGTATTTTGGAAGTTTTATTGACAACGATAGGTCATTGCAAAGTCTGGGGGCATAGGTTAATAATTACGGACAGAAGTAAACAGCGCCAGCAAACCATTACCAAAGCCAGCCTTAGCAGCCTATTGTGAACCTGCAGCCTGATTTCACCAGCCAAGAGCCTGCCTTCCTCACCAGAGGCTGACATAAGCCAGCTGGTAGCCTCGCCCATCAAGGTCCGGTCAGATTCTGTACTCCCGAAGTTCATAAGTTGACCAGTGGACCTCTCTCCAGCCCACACATGCAGGCAACTTCAAGGCTCTAAGGTTACACTCTCACTTCTTTGACTATATGGATCAGTCTCGACTGTGTTACTCTGTCCCCCACTTTTTATCTAAACCTAGGTCAGTTGCTACACTAGTGTTAATATTCTGTTCTGTGTGCTGCTAAAAAACGCCATAAAATAACACCATAAAATAACACCATAAAATAATAATAATATTTCTGAATTTCAGCTAATTACAGTATCTTCATCCGGTAAATCTCTTGCCTCTAGTTTTCTCTGCATACCCATTAGTATTAGTACCTATACATCCTTGTATCAATAAATTGTAAACTATCACTTGTGGTTCTGTTTGTAATTATCACAATTTCATCAATATAAATCACTGTCCACAGGAAAACCCTAACCCACTACATCATGCACTGTAGGGGTGCAGGGGCCAGTGTTTAAATTCCTACGTAGTTGGATTGGTGCTAAATATGACTTGTGGTGGTAATTTGGTGACCAAAAAGGACTTATAAAGCGAAGGTGTTTGCAAATTACATTATGATATGTTCATTATTATATGACAAAAAGTTTAAAAAGTTCATGAAATGACCAAAATATACAATGATGGGTGACCAAATGTTATCCTACTCTACTTTGCATCGTGCCTAAGAACCCTGTTCCTGATGATAAAGCCACAGTAACCACATGGCCTCTCATGACTTATTACTTAAATAAAGCTATATGTCTATGGAAGACATTATTGCATATTTTTAAACTGATGTTTAGCACAAATATGGCTGTATGCATATGTGTTCAGTCACAAGGAACCCTATTTTTTGTATTATATTGTAGAGCTACTTTATTAATACAAATACAGATATTGTTGAGAATTTTCCTCAGACTGTATGTGGGAAACCATATTTTTTACTTTGTATGCTGTGGCTTTACAGTTAATCCTTCAGTTAATATTTCTACTTAAAGTCTTTAACTTTAAATATATCTGGATTAGTTGGGATATTGGGATTCACCTGGCAGCTGATTGATTAGTATCTCCAGGGCTACTTGTTAAACAAATCCATGTTCTCATGTAAGGAATGTTTACTTTGGGCCTTTTTCTTCATCTGCACACAATTTGTGACCACTTTGTGAATTCCTTTCCTCCTACACGCAGAGCTGTGCCATAGTACCACACACACAAACCAAATTATGGTTCTTCAATGGTTCTTTATTAAATAAAATAAAAAAAAAAGTTATATAGAACCATGAACACTAAAAGAACTCTTTGCATGATTAAAAGGTTCTTTGCTACATGAAAGTGTTCTTCAGATTGATGGACAATGTGCTGTAAATGGTTCTGTATACAACCCTTTTGAAAAGGGTTCTATATAGCACCAAAAGGGCTTCTTCTGTTGTTACAAGCTTGACATCATGGCAGTAGATGAAGCTTTATTGGTGCTATCTAGGACCCTATACAGCTCATTCGTATTTAAGCTGAAGAACCGTTCATTATGCAAAGAACCCTTTAATCATGCGAAAGGTTATTTGAGTGTTCATGGTTCTGTATTGAACTGTTTTCTTTACTAAAGAACCCTTAAAGAATAATTAGTTTTAAGTGTGTTTAGAAAGTCTCAGGCTGTGCATGAGTTTGTCAGTAGGGGAAAAATTCAAATTTGACATTTTTTTAATTGATTCTGAATATTTCAAAAGAGAGAAGCACTGTGCATCTCAGAAATAGTTGTTTTTATAGTTGGACCTAATAAAGTGGCCCATCTTTATTTTATTTTGTTAGTAGTATTTCCAGTAATGAGCAAGTCTCAAGCTGAATTTTCTTGCACTTGTTCCTGGCCCGCCGCCAGCTTTAGCTCACGGCGGCGGACTCTCGCCTCATTTAAACACTGAGCAAAATCCCAGGGAACGGGAAGGCGCTCGATTCTGCAAGTCAAGCGCAATCAACAGGAGATGACAGACTGCCTAATGAGGCTCAGCTGGAACACGCGAGTTATGACCAAACATTTCCAGCTGTACAGACTCAGAGCTTGTTGCTACAGTCACTTAGCCCAGTTAAAGATTGGGAGCGCCAGGTCTCAGCCAGCCAGTCGGTTAGTTACGTGAGCGGGACGGCTGCCGGCCAGCCAATCGGAGAGCAGCTCAGTGCGATGTCATTGATCTGATTAATAGAGTGGAGCGAATGGAGGAACTCTAACATGTTGCTGGCTGTGAATAATTGATGGCCCTGGGCATGCCACTTCCCTTTGAAGTTCCTCTTTGAAGCCAACCCCAAAAAGAAACAAGTTAAAATTTCACAGGTCTGAAATATTTATCTGTAATGACCCGAGCTCTTCACACGCTCTCGGACTGAAAGTGGCGTTAAAGTGAATGGAGATGATCAAACGTGTTCTCTTGGACGGTGGACCTTGATCCCGTCTGCTTCAGAAGAATGTTTTAGCAAAGCAGACTTTATGCAGTACGTGCAGAATCTCCAGGAAATCACACTTTCAGGACACGAGTATGCATTAAATCTGTGATACTTGGATGAGACCAAAGTGTTCCGCAGCACAGACGCCTCTCGGGCGAGCATCAGGTGTGTTGTGTGGCCTGAGGACAAATACGATGCTGCTGCACGTTTGGGACAGCTTTATTATTTTGTTTCACCGAGACCTGACTCTGCTGAACAAAATAAAACGTTGATGAAAATAGCCACAGTACCTCTCAGCCCCTGTTGACCATGAAACTTTTTTTGTTTTTTTTTCATAGAAGGGGCCAGGCATTCAGTACTTTACAGTACAGTACTTTTTTAAATATGATATAAAATAATTTGTGTGGCTGCCTGTAGAAAACTTTTTGACCTTTTGACCTTTCTTAAATAAATGTTACTTTTTGAATTTTTAAAATCTCTTTTAAAAAATAAAGTTAGGACATTATTAAAATTGGCCTTGTCTGAAAATCCCAAACTGAGAAAATTGCACTTAAAAATTTAACAGCATTCCGGATTTTGTTTATCGCAACTAAGTAATTCAGGACATTTAAAATTGATGTTTTATTGTGTTTATAAACTATTTCAGAACCAAGTGACATTGTCCAATGCAATCATACATGTATTTATCTGTATAATCAATAATTATATATTTATAATTATATATAATTTTTTTATTCTTTTACAGTGAAAGTGTAAGAAAAGCGATAGCAAGGTAGATGCTAAAAGGGTACTCTGTTAACAGGCACTTACCTCGCCTATGTAGGTTACTTTAAACAGTAAAAACATTCTCAAAAGTTCCCAAAGAAGTGTCAGCGTCTCTCCTTCTGCTTAACAAAGACTTTTTATGTCAATTTGTTTTGGTAAACAAATCAATCATGAACAAGCAGAGATCATGTAAGGGTTTTTGAGTGATGCACAGCAATAAAAATTATTGGCTGAAGCTGAAAAGTCTGTAGTGGAGAAGTTATTGGATGTTGTATCTCCTCTTCATGCTCAATATGAACAGAGATTATAAATATTGTGTTTAATGTTCCTTTTAGAAACCGTGAAACAGTTGGCCAATATTCTCACTATTGATCGGCTGCTGCTCAAACTGTTTGAACGCATCTGCCTTTTTAATCACTATTTTCTATTTTCATTAACATTAAAATTATTTGTGAAGTCTGAGATTTTGACATGTTGTTGTGAACCTATTTAATCTGGTTTTTTGGTCTAAATTTTTCAGCTGCTTTTCTCTTTTCTGTGGATGGACCATTTTTGTAAATGAGATGTGTGAGTGTGAAGACAATTTAAAAGGTTCCATACTAATTCAAGACTAGATATGTCCTCTAGCTGAACATCCAAGCCAAGAAACCTTTAGGAACCTTTTTAATTAACCAACCTATGTCAATCCCACGGTGCACTTCTGCTGCTGCTCCCAGCTGTTGAACAGACTTGAGCAGACTTGTGATGTGTCTTGTCTCTTAGGGATCCTGTATAAAGGCAATGGAGAAAATGTGTTCATATCCCAGCTTCCTCCGGTCATCAGCACCATCATGGGAAATGGCCGGCGCAGGAGCATCTCGTGCCCCAGCTGTAATGCCCAGGCCGAGGGCAACAAGCTGCTGGCCCCCGTTGCCTTGGCCTGGGGCCGAGACGGCAGCCTGTATGTAGGAGACTTCAACTACATCAGACGCATTTATCCATCAGGCAATGTTAGCAGTGTCATGGAGCTCAGGTGAGTGTGCAGCAGAGGGAGGGATGGATGGATGGATGGATGGATGAATGGTTTCATGGATTGATTGGTGGGTTGATTTATGAATGGATATGTGGCTCTGGCCTGGGACAGACAGCAGCCTATATGTATGAAACTTCACATGTAGGATTACATCAGATGTATCTAAATGACAGGCAGTGTTAGCAGCATCATGGAGCTCAGGTCATGGTGCAGCAGATGCATAGAGGTAGAGAGGAATGGATAGGAAGGCATGAGGGAGACATCATCATGAGGGCATTATTTCATCACTAATTTAGCAGTGTTATGGGTAGATGCATGGATTTATTAATAGGTTAATGGATAGATAGATGAATGGATGACTTCATGGATGGATAAATGATTGCTGAATTGATGGATGGATAGATCGGTGAATACTGGTTGGATGGATGGATGGAGGGATGGGTTAATTGGTTAACAGAGAGGGGGATGAATTGACAGATGGATATAGATGGATATAGAATGGATATAGAGATGGATTGATGGATTGATGGATGGACTGAAAGATGAATGGGAAGATGAACGGATGGATGGATGGATGGACAGATGATGGATGTGCTGATGTTTTTTTTAGGAATGAGTAGATAGGATTAGATAGATGCTGGATTGATCAATGGATTGATAAAAGAAAGGATGGATAGGTCAACTCATGGACAGATGGATGAATAGATTCTTGGATTGATGGATGGATGGATGGATGAATGATGATGGATTGATGAGTGAATGACAGGATGGATTGATTGATGAATACAGGTGAATGTTTGGTGAATAGATTGATGGATCTGTGAATGGATGGATGGATAGATGAACACATGAGTGGGTGGATGAATGGATAAATTGATTGATGGATGGATTGACAGATAAATGGGAGGATGTATGGATAGATGGACAGACGATAGATGTACTGATGGATTCATGGATTGATGGATGGACTGAAAGATGAATGGGAAGATGGATGGATGGATGGATGGATGGATGGATGGATGGATGGACAGATGATGGATGTACTGATGTAATTATGAATGGACATGGATGCTGGATTGATCAATGGATTGATAATAGAAAGGATGGATAGGTCAACTCATGGATGGATGGATGAATAGATTCTTGGATTGATGGATGATGGGTTAATGGATGGGTGGATGGATGGATTGATGGATGAAGTGATAGATGGATTGACGAACGAATGACAGGATGGATTGATTGATGGACACAGATGGATGGTAGGTGAATAAACTGATGGATGGATAAATGGATTCATTCATTCATGAATCAATAGATAGATGGATGAAAATGTGGATGATCAACGGATTGATGCATCTGTGAGTGGATGAATGGATAGATGAACACATGAATGGGGGGAAGATGGATTAATTGATGGATGGATGGATGGATGGATGAATGGATCAACAAGAGCCTAGATGGATTTATAGATGGATAGTTTTAGGATTAATGGATGAAGAGTGTGGACACTAATACATTTAGCGCTCCTAGAAATGAGATAAGAGATTCATCATTGGAAAGATATTTGGGTTTGAATGAAAGACCAGAAAACATGCCACAGGTTCTCTTTGTCCAGGTTATACGTTTATCATGTTCTGCACAGGGTTCCTAGAATACAGTCAAACTGTCCAGTAATTGACCTCAACTGTGTCTCCTCGATTTCTATCTATTTGCTCTTCCTTTGTAGTCATTACCTGTTCAGCCAATCTCTTGTACATGTAGTCGTGAAAGCAAAGTTGTTCGATTTAGCACAGTAGCACACAGAAGGCTGGAGCTTCAGAGAGACTGTGAAGAATGAAGCATAATGCATAAAGAAGAGGGATAGTAGTAAAAGGGTGCATGAATGGATCCGATGATTGAGTGGATGGGTGTACTGTCAAATTGATTAATGAATGTTATAAACAATAAGCCTGTCCTTGTGTGCTCTGAGGACACTTTTTCTTCTTTGTCTCTTATGTTTATACGCTGTCGATATTCTCCCTTTTGATGCATGAAGAAATAAAGATTTCAGACACAGGTAAGTGATTCTTTGCTCGTAAGGTTTCAACTTAGATGGCACTGATCTAGCACTAGAAATGATGATTCTCAATAAATAATGTCTTGTGGGATGTAGATATTGCACTTAACATCTGTCATAGAATAGCTTAGTCACATTAATACCCTAATGTGAACAACCACCATCTGTTGAAAGATATATAAGCATACAAGTGTTTGTTTATATATAAACATTAATTTTTTATATTATTTATTTTGTGTGTTTGTTCTATTTTCTGTCTTGCCAAGAGCACATTCCAGAGCAAATGTGGAAAATACTTGGCTAAAAAAATGATTCTGATAATCAATTCTGAATGATCATATGGTCAAACAACACGTGGAACTTGGGCAGTTTGCTTCAAGATAGCAATCAGACAGTAGAAGGTGACTTCAGGTCATGTGGCTCAAAATAGACAACCGATTGCCCTCCTGCTGTGTCTTAGTTCATGCTGCTCTAGCACCACATTCTGGTTCTTCAGCTGAAGCAGATCCCAGGATTTATTTGGATCTCTTCTACTTTTCAGCTCAGATAGAAAATGCTGCAGGTTATGGATTAATCTGCAATATGTGAACATGCCCTTATAAACATTCTTTAATAATAGTCCACAAAAGTCTTTATCTGTTTCCTGAGGAGAAGGTCGCTGATGGACACATTGTCCTGCATTCCAAATCTTCACTTGTGGTCATTAGATGCTAATGGCATTCAGGGAGGAGCTGCGCTAACTCGCTCAGAGACGAGCACACTGATGGGTTTAATGAATGCAAATAAGCATGGCCTGATGAAATGCCATCAGCTGTTGACAGTCATTAAGATCTGCATATCACAGCTCCATTTCTGAGAGCCTTCGCATGGGAGTCAAGACGACTGAAATGATTTGGCAGTCTTCAAGGCGTCATCACTGCCTCCTCGAATGTGTTCCAGTCACATCTGATTTATTTCCCCTTCACACATTTCCCTCCTCCTCGTCTGTCTCACTGTTTTAAAACACTAGGAAAAAAGCAGACGGTGAATGTGTGAACTTTCTAGCAACATTAATATTCTCATCACCGTGTTATTTCGCCTGCCATTTCCAATCACACTGTCAAACTTCTCATTTCTGAAATGCAGTTTCAGCTTGACCACACGATAGAGATTCAATCAGGCCTAAAATATTGAACTGGACCCGAATGTAGCCTGAGAATATTTTCTGCCTGAAACAATGCACAGCAGTTAGAATAGAATCCAGGCTCGAATGTAACCTGTCAAAAATCCATCTGAACCTGACTGAAGCCTAACAAAGTTGTTTGAACTGAATGTAACCAACAAAATTCTGTCTGAACTTGACTGAAGCAGATGAAATTCTGTCTGAACTCAACTGTAGCTCCACAAAATTCTGTCTGAACCCAACTGTAGCTGACAAAATTCTGTCTTAATTTGACTGTAGTCGACAAAATTCTGTCTGAGCTCGACTGTAGCCAACAGAATTCTTTCTGAACCCAACTGTAGCAGAAAAACTTGTCTGAACCCGACTGTAGCTGACAAACTTCTGTCTGAACCCGACTGTAGCTGACAAAATTCCGTCTGTACCCGACTGTAGCTGACAAATGTCTGTCTGAACCCAACTGTAGCTGACAAACTTCTGTCTGATCCCCAACTGTAGCTGACAAACTTCTGTCTGATCCCCGACTGTAGCTGACAAAATTCCATCTGTACCCGACTGTAGCTGACAAAATTCTGTCTGAAACCGACTGTAGCCAACAGAATTCTTTCTGAAACCTGACTATAGCAGACAAAATTCTGTCTGAACTCACCTAGAGCTCCACAAAATTCTGTCTGAACTTGACTGTAGACAAAATGTTGTCTGAACTGTAGCCAACAAAATTCTGTATGAATTTGACTGTAGCCAACAAAATTGTCTAAACCTGACTGTAGCAGACAAAATTCAGTCTAAATCTGACTGTAGCCTTGCAAAATTCTGTCTGAACTCGTCTGTAGCTCCACAAAATTCTGTCTAAACCGGCTATAGCCAACAAAATTCTGTCTGAACCCAAATGTAGCCCAACATAATTGTCAGTAACAATCTGAAACTTGATAAAATTCTGTCTGAACCTGACTATTACCCCCAAGAAATGATCTGAACCAGAGTAGCCTAATACAGTTCTGTCCCGGCCTGACTCTTGCTGACAAAATTTCTGCAAAAAATTCAGAACTGTTACCCAACAACCAAAACTCAACCATCAACATGACAGTGAAAGTTACCCTGTTACCAAATACCATATTTCATAAATATGGAGAGAGTCAGGATATGAGAAGCTCCACTTCTAAACCTGACCTGATTATTAGAGAAATGATAGTTTTCGCTCTGCCACACACAACACTGGAAAAAAAGTCTCACAGTTCTCCCTCCTTCACTCCTGCAGTAATAACCCAGCTCATCGGTACTACCTAACCACGGATCCTGTAACTGGACAGTTGTACGTGTCAGACACCAACTCCAGGCGGATCTACCGGCCACGGGTCCTTTCAACTAACGCAGAGCCCCAGCAAAATGTGGAGATTGTGGCAGGAACAGGAGACCACTGCCTGCCTTTTGATGAGACTCAATGTGGGGACGGAGGTCCAGCTACAGAAGCCCTACTGACAGGACCCAAAGGTACAACATTAACCGGACCGTACAGAGTCCAAAACTAAAGCACTGACCACACCTCACTCACAGACAAGAATTTAACTGTTCATTTAATACCAGCAGATACAGAAATGGACCAGTGCTAGCATAGATGCTTATAATGATAGGGTTACCTACCTAGCTAACTAATGTGCTTTTACAAAGTGATGAAAACAAAAATTAGCAATGGACACACAAACTTACCGTTCCATTCCATTTTGGTGCAAATGGTACTTGGCCGCTTTGGCTACATTCACATTACCATGCTGAAATGGCACAAATCTGATTTTTTGCCTTAATGTGACACAGATCTGATGCTTTTAGAGCAATGTGGACACACAAATCCAAGCTGAGCCGCATTCATACATGGTCCTAGATCGGATAAGTGTCAAATTCATGGCCATTCGACTTTAATGAGAATGCTCAGATCTGGATTCATGCCTTTTTTTTGCATTATCATTCAGTGTTACCATAGCAGCAGCGCTGCTATTCTGAAGTTAGTGCCAGTAAACGACGGAAAAGCATCACATCTCACTCTTTTTCATCTTCGTTTCGCTCTAATAATGAGCAGCTGAGGGCTGTTCAGAGCTAATTATATTCACAGCAAAGGCCTCCTCTGCTGGTTAGTTTGCTGTTCATAACGCATGTGATTCATTCGTTCACGAAGTTATTAATTATGATGTGCGTATGCGGGTCACTTCAGGATGCCAGTCTGCACACATTAATAACAGATTGGAGTCACTTACCTAAACTAGTGTGAACTATCATGTTAGAGAGATTTGATCTCAGCAAAATTCTGATTCGAGTAATGAGGCTTATAATGTGAAAATAGCATTTATCCTCACCTGGAAGAATAAAGAATTCTCTAAATTGTGTCTGAATACTTCAGCTGCAAGTGGTACCAAAGACAGAAATTCCAACTCAAGATAGAATCAACTTAAGTTCAAGTTAACAAGCATTAACTTTCCGCTGCCCTTTGAAGATATTATGCAAAACAACAAAAGAACCATGAAGTTTCCCAATAGATGTGTCTGCTTTCTTTCTAGCCTAGAATTGGGGAACAAAATCACCTTTTCTCAGCCATCCTTTCAGTCCCCACTACCCCCACTACCCCAGCCAACCCCCACTCCCCCAGCAGATTACACATCTGCTCAAAGACCCTAAAAATAGAAAACCGCTGACACATTTTGCTAATAGACTCCCATAAGGTATGAATGTGTCAGACCTTACAGGCTCCCGTTGACCCTGACCTCATATCACTAACAGGATTCAAAGGTACTACAGTACTAACTGAGCCTTAAAGAGTCCAAAGCACTGACCACTAATGGCCCTCCTGTCCTAATAGACCATTGCACATCAAAAATTGGCAATAACAAGCTTTACAGCTGTTGAAAGTTGAAACCTGGTTAGATCTTGCCATTTTGTTCACAGAAACAGCTGCGAACAGCTGCTAAAAGTTCTACCCTGGGAATAACGCCACACAATTTATCTCCTTGTTGTGATGTCTTTCAGGTTTTTAAAGCACTTTTGGGCCCAAAGAGTTTCAATATAAGCTTTTAACAATATTCTGAGAAAAGAAAATGAAGAATCATTATTTAGGCAATGCAGGGCCCTAGGGCACTTACCTCACCTTGCTAACAGAGCCCAGAGGTGTGGTACTGAAACCCTGAAGTTAAAGCACTGACCTCATCTTTCTCTAAAGCCCTGTACAACACAATACTGCAATAATTTCCCAATAATGTAATAACCCCAAATTTGTAATAAACATTTGCACTTAACTTTGTCAAAAATGTAATAAAATCCAGCAATGTAATAACCTGCCCAAAAAATGTAATATAATGTTTTAACTGATCATGTAATAAAACTTATAATGCCTTATTACATTATAGGGAATTTTCCCACATTTTTAGGTTGACAGTATGTAATGTCTTATTGCTTTATTGGAAATGGAAGTTTTTTGTGAGATCATCATTATTGCTCAGATATGTTTTCAAAGTGGATGATGTAATAGGATTTGGGAGCAGTTACCAGAGGTCTCCTACGGTGCTTCTGTACTGTACATGGGAATCAATGAGAGGAGCATAAGAGTGTGTTTTTCTTTCAGAAGAAGTTCCACTTTTAAGACTTCTTGTAAGACAGACAGCTTAATATAATTATTATTAATATAACAAGCCTAAATATCAGATGAAAGAAATTATATTTATGGTTAAAAAAAAAAACAGTAAATCAGTCAAATTTGTTAGTCCTGAAAGGGTAATAAATTCCTAATAATGTAATAAAGTGTTAAAAGTCTAATTACATTATTAGATAAGACATTTGTATTGCATTGTTGAGCTTTATCACATTTTTGACCAAGTTAAATGCAAAATCTTATTACATTTTTGGCCATTATTACGTTTTTTGTGAAATAATTACATTATTGGGTTCTACAAGTTTTAAAATGTGAAATGTGTGGAGGAGATCAGATCTTGCAGAACCCAAAATGAACACATTGATCAGACACATTGTTTAAATTATGGAGTGAACTTATCTCTCATGAAAGAGACCTGAGCTCCCTTAAAAGCAGTCCAGTCTGACATTTGATAATGTCATGGCTTGTTTGACTGCTTTCTGAAGGGATCTGTAGGCCTTCATGTGCTGTGTTTGATCAGACTGGCTGTTTTGACTGGACTCATCTTGTGAGGAGTGAGTTTGCCAGTGTTAGAGTACATATGAGACAATCTGGTAGAGAGATAATGCTGTATTGTTATGTTGGGTGTATCAGTTTGTCAGTTTTAGTGCATGCAGCAAACTAAACAACATATCTGTCAGTATGCTGTTTGATCTTTAGAAGCGCTAAATGAGTTTTCAAGAGCTAAAATATGAAAGCAGCACCAACTCCTCCACGGCTAATTGTGTCATAAATTTCAGGTGCAGCTTACAATATAAAACAGCACATTATGGTGTGAGACTTTGTGTACTTGAATGCTATAACAAACACACATATTAGGATATAGCTTCTTGCAGCATTTCCAGGTACTTTGTATCGCTTTGGCTTCCACCATTTGCACCTTTTTGTAAGTTGCTTGAATAAGAGTGTCTGCCAAATGACTACATGTAAATGAAAGGGTATAAAAGGCCAAATCTGCATATGCCTTGAAGAAAAAGTCAGCGGAATTTCCAACACTGCTTAAACACATCAACTGTAACATCCTGTCTTGGCCTGTCCTTGTCTTTCTCTGTTTCAGCCTTGTTGTCTTGTTTCATGTGCTTTTGTTGTTGTTTACGTCTTTGTCACCTCCCTGGTCCTGCATTCTTGTTATCTGTCTCACCTGTCTGTTGTCTGTAGCGTCACCCTCTCATTAGTCCCAGGTGTTTCTAGTCTGTTCTATGTGTATTTATACTCAAGCTTATGTGCTTTGTGTTTGCTTGGTGTTCTTGCTTGTTCTCTCATATCTTTCATTTGTTTTCTAGTTTTCTTCAGGTCCGTCTGTCTTTAGTTTTCTTTATGTTTCAGCATTTGTTCAGTAGTGTTCGGTCTTTGTTTTGTCACCTTTGTGTCATGGATTTTTGGATTTTTTGCACTTTCATCCTGCCTCTTCATCTCTCCCAACGTTACATCAACCTTGTGTCTTTTCTTAACATTTGTTAATGCAAATATTAAAAGTGAAAGGTTTGCTTTTTAAAACTTCGGTTCACTCATCATGAAATCCAGACACTGTAATGAGCAGCTGGGCTTTTTAAATAGTGGACAAAAATAAAAAAAAACTGAAAGCCAAGAAAGAAATGGATTTTTATTTTCTTGTAACTACCCAGACTTTACTCTAAGGACCCAAAGCAACAGTACTGACCACACCTTACTCACAAAGCTGAATGAAGTACGACTGACCATAGCTTGAGATCGGCCTGACTGGCCCATAACTGAGAAGTATTCTAACTCAGAAAAGAAGAGGATTCCCCACACTGAGTCAGTGAACTGTGCCAGACGTAACAATTATGGATAGCACAAAAATAGATCAAATGCAACACATGAAATTCTCATCGCAGAGCGGCCCTGCTAGAGTGGTCGTTTCAGCGTTAGTTAAGTTTTGATCAGATGAATTCTTGATGAATTCTTTGATATGGACACACTCCAAATTCCCTTTTAGGCAGATGAAAGAGCATACTGAAACCCCAGGCTTTAACATGCTGTTATATAACTGTACGTCAAAGGAGTTTCTGAATTTTCGAAGTCTGAGACCGGAAATGCTGACAAATTATTATTAAAGTTTTCTTGAGGAGACAGTTGTTTACTTATTCTAAACAACTAGAGAACTAGGGCTTACTGTAAATTCAAATTAATCATTTATGCCGATAACCACAGAGTAGTTAAGCCTATCCAGCAAAAACCGTATATTAACCATTCCACCAGCCAAACTATGCTTTATTTACATTTTGGCAATACATGACATTAAACAAGGCCAAACCATCCTTGTATGATTTTTTACAAAGAATATCACATATGTAGTACATTACTAGCCTGGAATTTTCCTATTGTAGTATACTGAAGGTCTATATAAATAGCAATAATACCAAAATCACTGGTCTCGTTTTTACAACCCCATTTCCAAAAAAGTTGGGATGCTATGCAAAATGTAAATAAATACAAAATGCAATGATGTGCAAATCATTTAAACCCTATATTTCATTAAAAATAGTACAAAGACAACATATCAAATGTTGAAACTGAGAAATTTTATTGTTTATTGAAAAATACACTGATCAGGCATAACATTATGACCACTTATGATCCTTGTTTCTACGCTCATTGTCCATTTTATCAGCTCCACTTACTGTATAGGTGCACTTTGTAGTTCTACAATTACAGACTGTAGTCCATCTGTTTCTCTGCATACTTTGTTAGCCCCCTTTTACCCTGTTCTTCAGTGGTCAGCATCCCCATGGACCCTCACAGAGCAGGTACTATTTGGGTGGTGGATCATTCTCAGCACTGCAGTGACACTGACGTGGTGGTGGTGCGTTAGTGTGTGTTGGTACGGGTGGATCAGACACAGCACTGCTTTTGGTGTTTTTAAACACTGTGTCCACTCACTGTCCACTCTATTAGACACTCCTACCTTGTCAGTCCACCTTGTAGATATAAAGTCAGAGACGATAGTTCATCTGCTGCTGCACAGTTTGTGTTGGTCATCCTCTAGTCCTTCATTAGTGGTCACAGGACGCTGCCCACAGGACGCTGTTGGCTGGATATTTTTGGTTGGTGGACTATTCTCAGTCCAACAGTGACACTGAGGTGTTTAAATACTCCAGCAGCACTGTAGAGGAAATCACTGCATGGGCTCAGAAAAACACTGTCTAAAAAAACAGTTCATCACTGCTTCCATAAATGTTAAAAAGTTAAAACTCTGAAACCAAAGAAGAAACTGTACATAAACAGGATCTAGAAATGCTGCCACCTTCTCTGGGCCCGAGCTTATTTAAAATGGACTGAGGCGAAGTGGAAAAGTGTCCTGTGATCTGAAGAATCAGCATTTGAAATTTTTTTTTGGAAATCATCCACACCGTGTCTTCCGGGCTAAAGACCACTCAGCTTGTTATCAGTGCACAGTTTGAAAGCCAGTATTCATGATCTTATGGGGGTGCATTAGTGCACAAGGCATGGGTGACATGCACGTCTGTGAAGGCACCATTATTGCTGAATGATATATACAAGTTTTGGCAACATATGCTACCATTCAGATGATGTCTTTTTTAGGGAAAGCCTTGCTTATTTCAGCAAGACAATGCCAAACCACATTCTGCATGTGATACAACAGCATTGCTCCATATTAAAAGAGTCTGGGTGCTAAACTGACCTGCCTGCAGTCCAGACCTGTCACCCACTGATAACATTTGGAGGGTTATGAAATGAAAAATACAATAAATTGAAATCCAGTGTCAAACAAGAATGGGAAAAACTACAGTAATTGGACTCCTCAGTTTCCAAATACTGACAACACAGAGTGTGATGAAACACAGTGGTAAACATGCCCCTCCCCAACTTTTTTGAATGTGTTGTTGGCATCGTTTTCAAAATGGGCATGTTTTTCAAAAAACAAATCTAATTTCTTAATTTGCACATTATTGCATTTACATTTTGCATAGCATCCCAGCTTTTTTGGAAATGGGGTTGTATATTTAGTTGAAGTTCCACAACTTTATGTCAAAAAGAAGCAAAAACAGTTAGCTAGGCTTTAGAAGCTAATTTAGCCTGAACTCAGTATTTATTTATGATAGCTTGTAGTGTGAAAAATTCAGAAACCATCCTTTCATTTATTTAATTTCAGGTCAAAACAGCCATTAAGTACAAGTTAATTTTTTTCTGTCAGAAAAAAAGCAAACAGAAATATTTAACAGAGTATTACCTTCAGGCTTCAATAACTGAATATTGTCACTTCTGACGTAAATCTTTGGTCTTGCCATGGAAGAGAATCTGGAAACCGGAGTTTGCAGAAACGATGGTTTTATTAAACAAAAAAACAAAGCAAAAAAAAATGCTTTGTCCAATTTTGCTTCAAACCCAGTCTAAAGACCAGTTAAAGACCAGAGTGTTTAGTGTGTCCACTCTACCTTTATTACAGCTTCCATTCTTTTCAGGAGACTCACTTTTGGTTTCTCAAAGAAATCTGCAGACACACCTCCGAAGTTCAGTCTTAGAAGCTGGTTTGAAATTTGGTTTGTATCTATCACAAACAAAGTAATCCCAATAACAATGTAGACTTATCAGTTCACGAAGTTTTACTTACTCTAGTTTTGGTGTTCAAGTGTAAATGTTCTTGTCTGTCTCCTTTTCTCAGTGAGGCTTCTTGACAGCTACACATCCTTTCAGACCCATAGTGCTGAGTCGTCTTCTCACAGTGGAAGGATGGACAGAAACACCTGTGGATGTTTTCAGATCTGAAGCAGCTTGATTTTCTCCTCTCTCTCAAAGATGAAAGCTTTAAGTGCTGTAGCTTTTAGTCATATTTTTCATTTTTCAGCTGTTAGTCATTCTCTTCCATCTGGTCTCCTCAAAAATATCTACTGAAAAATTCATAATTTGTACTTAATGGCTGTTTTGACAGGAAATTAAATGAATGAAAGATAGGCTCTGACTTTTGCACAGTACTGCGTATGAATGTACATGATGGTGGAGACATGATTCAGAAACAGCCTCTGAGGTGGCATTGGCTTTTATCCTACAGAACTTCATGACATATTGATTTTTTCAAATGCTGCAAAAGCACACAGAATTTTAAAACAGGCCGGCCGACGGGTGTCCATAGGCAGCATGAGGGATGCAGGTGCATTAGTGCACTTTGCTCAGGTGGGGACAGACATTTTTGCCACAGCATCACTTCACTCCCATCACGTACACGTTTAACAAGGAACGGTCACCATAGCAACCTCCGCATTCATAATTGTTGGTTTAATAAAGAGTTTAATGTTTTCTCGTGCTCAGTTTTTCGTGAGATGTCCTGCCCAAAGATAGAAAGAGTGATAAAACTGGAAGAGACATGTAGAGATGGTCTGATACATCCTACTGCACTTTTTCCTTGAGCAATAATTCAGCAGCGGAGGGCAGGATGTGAATAATTGAGCGTGATGCTTTCTGCAGTGACCTGAATAATTTGAAGCCAAACACGACACATGTAGCCGCCTCCCATGCGCCCGCCCCCTCCCCTTCATGGCAGGCTGAGAGCACAGCTGTCTGACCTGTGTGTCTCTTTCTATCCTCTCTGCTCTTTACAGGGATCGCTGTGGATAAGAATGGCCTGATTTACTTCGTGGATGGCACTGTGATCCGCAAAGTGGATCAGAACGGCATCATTTCAACTTTGCTGGGGTCAAATGACCTTGCCTCAGCCAGACCACTCAACTGTGATGCAGTAATGGACATCCAAGAGGTACAAATGTGGGGAGGGAAAAGGTCTTTAAACAATTATTAGTCCATGAACAACCTCAATAAACACTCATATACACTAGAATAGGAGATCTTAGTCCATAAACAACTTCAATAAACACTCATGTGCACTAGAATTGGAGATATCAGTCCATAAACAACTTCAATAAACACTCATATGCACTAGAATATGAGATATTAGTCCATAAAAAACTTCAATAAACACTTATATGCACTAGAATAGGAGATATTAGTCCATAAACCACCTTTATAAATACTCCTGTACACAAGAATAGGAGATTTTAGTCCATAAACAACTTAAATAAAACACTCATATACACAAGAATAGGAGATATTAGTCTATTAACAACCTCAGTAAACATTTCTATACACTAAAATATGAGATATTAGCCCATAAACAACCTCAGTAAACACTTCTATACATTAGAATAGGAGATATTAGTCCATTAACAACTTCAATAAACATTCATATGCAATAGAATAGGAAATATTAGTCCATAAACAGACTCAATAAACTCTCCTATACACTAGAATAGGAGGTATTAGACCATAAACAACTTCAAAAAACACTCATGTGCACTAGAATAGGAGATAACGGTCCATTAACAACTTCAGCAAACACTTCTGTACACTAGAATAGGAGATATTAGTCCATAAACAACTTTAATAAACACGCCTATATGCTAGAATAGGAGATATTAGTCCACAAATAACCTCAATAAACACTCCTTAAGTCTACATCTCATACAAGTAAATTCAGCCCGTTGGCAGGATTGATGGGGTTAAAGTGCTTCTGTGGCAGAGGGTCTCCCTGAATGTTATGCAACACAAGCTTGCACATGTTTGTCCACAGAGCAAAGCCGAAGAGTAAATATACCTCAGCTGGTCTCATCCACTTAATAAAAACAGCAAATTTACACAGGTTCCCTTTGACTGATTTGCTGTCCAGAAAAAGGATAATTGGTTTTCACCTTTAGAAGTTTAGAGTTACGACTGTCATTTAGCTGCAACAGTAAGTATAAATAAACACAAGCATATGATGAATGAGATTTTCAGTCGACAGGTTTGAATCTGCACCTCCCAGTTCTGAGAAAAACATCAGGCATCTTATGCTAATTGGTGGGGTTTAAGCGCCAGTGCAAAAAAGAAACAAGCTTCAGACACAAAACACGTGCTAGCTAATTGATTATATTCAAGGTAATAGGGTAAAGTGTAAATCTGATTTACAGGTTGAAGGTAAGGTCAAAATTCAGATGTTTTTTTTTTTCATGTTTACCTTTTAGGTTGAGGTCAAGGTCAGGGTTAGAGTGTGTGATAAGTTTAGGGGTAAAGAAAGGTTTCATAACCATAACCATGCTTTTGTTTTTGTTAGCGGTATCTGCAGCTTCCAATCCATATTAAAATCCTTATTTATTAACCAAGTACATGGAATTTCACTTGGTCAACATATAACTATGTATATATATAACACTTGAGCACGTTATTTAAAACTATCTTTCCGGCAATAAGTTTGTTTCTGCCATTAAAAACACTACGGTTGTATGCCAGAGTTTAGGTGTCCGTACTTGACACATCCTCTATAGAGAACACACTTCTGCACATTTTAATGCATATTTACTGTTTATTTACTGAATTTAACATAGTTGGGAAAAAAATATGTTAAATTCAAATAAGTGTAAAATGTGACCTGTGCAAAAGTTATGGCACATTTTATATTTCACATGTTCGTATTTTTGTTTGCAGCAAATATATATATATATATAAATGTGCACTAAAATGCATAATAAGTTCTCTGTAGAGGGCAATTTAACTTCTTTTCACTTACAAGATCGACAAAGCATTGCATTTGGTGTTCAAACATTTGCATATAACTGTAAATCATTAGAGTACTTACACAACTACAGTGAAAAGTAAGTGAAGAGTTTCATGTTTTCAGAAAAGTAGTGGTTGTCTTGTGCTAGTTTAAAGAACAAAATTCCAGATTTGTGCTGGACACCTCCAGACATCACATTATTAAATTCCATCAGCAGCTCCTGATTTAACATAATGAAGTATTGATTAGATAAAGATGGTATTGGATGATAACTACAAATAATACTTGAGGAGAGGGCAGGAAATGGCTGAACAAACACACTGGCTCCTTTTTGTACTATTGTTATTTGAATTTAGTGTAATATTACTGTTTTTCTGAGCAAAATAAACACTTACTGACCAGATAAAAAGCTTTTCAATTCTATTTTATTTGCCCACAACTTTCTCACAATACTGCATATCGTCGCTAAAAATGTATCTCCATTTTTGTTCATTTGTATTTGTCTAAATTTGGAGATTTTTCTTTGTACAGTGGCGATATACAGTATGTACATCTGAAGATATAAGAAGGGAATATATTTATAAATATATATATATGTTTATAAATATATTGTATGGTACAAAGTGTGGATTGTAATGTAAATGTAGTGAATATTGTTAATATTGTTATAAATGTTACAATATCATTTCCTTTAGGTTTCGTTAGAGTGGCCGACAGACCTGGCGGTCAGTCCACTGGACAACTCTCTGTTTGTTCTGGATGGCAGCGTGGTCCTGCGGATTACAGAGGAGGGTCAGGTGAGCGTGGCCGCGGGTCGACCGCTGCACTGCCCGATGCCCGCCACTGACCAGTCTGTGGCAGATGTCCAGTGGGCCACACACACTCATCTGGAGTCTCCGAGCGCCATCACAGTTTCCTTCAGTGGAGTTTTGCACGTCGCTGAGACGGACGAGCGAAAGATGAGCCGGATTCGCAGCGTAACGCCGGACGGTGAAATCACCCACCTGGCGGGGGTGCCGTCCGACTGTGACTGCAAAACCGACGTGAATTGCGACTGCTACCTGACCGGCGATGGCTTTGCTAAAGACGCACGGCTTAGTGGACCCTCCTCTCTAGTAGCTGGTCCTGATGGGACGCTGTATGTGGCAGACTTGGGAAATATTCGGATCAGAAGCATTGGCACCAATAGACCGCCACTGAACAGCCTGGGACTGTATGAGGTGGCCTCTGCCATGGAGCAGGAAGTCTACATGTTTGATGTTAATGGAACACACCAGCACACCGTCAGTCTGGTGACAGGAGACTACAGGTACCAGAGATTACAATCAATTCAGTTCAATTTACAGTCAACAAATTCCCTAATCACTATTCCCTACTCGTAAGAACACTGTATTGGGAAAAAAGGGCCTCTAATCACTATGGAGCATTGTATAGAATACTCAAAAGGGAACAGAAATGACCTCTAATCACTATTCCCTACATTGGAGCACTATGTTAAACACTATTAAGGGAATAGAAATGGCCCCCAGTCACTATTCCCTACTTTGGAGCTTCATATAGAACACTATTAAGGGAACAGAAACGGCCCCTAATCCTGATTCTTTACTTTGGAGCTCTACATAGAACACTATTAAGAGAACAGAAATGGCCCCCAATCACTATTCCCTACTTCAGAGCATTTTATAAAACACTATTAGGAGAACAAAAATGGCCCTCTAATCTCTATTCCCTACATTGGAGCACTGTATAGAATACTCTTGTAGGGAACAGAGATGGTCCCTAATCACTATTCTCTACATAGGAGCATTAGGTTAAACACATTTAAGGGAACAGAAATGCCCCCCACATCACTATTCCTAACTTTCGAGCACTGTGTAGAATACTGTTAAGGGAACAGAAATAGCCTTTAATTAAGATTCCCTACTTTGGAGCACTGTATAGAACAGAGTTGATCCCTAATCACTAATCATTCCTCTGAACAACTGTGATCCCCTGACAGGTACAACTTCAGCTACAGTAATGATGGAGATCTGACCGCTGTGACCGATTGCCATGGTAACACCCTCCGTATCCGGAGGGATGCTAGCCGGCAGCCGGTGCGAATTGTGGCCCCGGATAATCAGGTGGTGTGGCTGAGCATGGGCTCCAGCGGGGGGCTGAAGACACTGGGCACTCAGGGCCAAGACCACGTCCTGCTCACTTACCATGGAAACAGCGGCCTGCTGGCCACCAAAAGCACCAACAACGGATGGACCACCTTCTATGAGTGAGTCTGAAGCGGAGTTACTGTCTAGTTCTGCTTGTGGATGTTAGTGTGATCAGCAAAGAGCTTTAGAGCACATAAACAATGTAAACAATCTATGAATAATGCAGTCAGTCTTTGACACGCACACATGAACAGAATGTATGTTTATTAAAAAGCTTAATCAATTTAATGCAAAAAAAATACTTTTTTTAAAGTAAAATATCAATGAGTTTTTATGTAAAATAAAAAAAATACAAAGCATGTGTTTGAAATAAAATTGCAGAGGATTTTCTTTCTTTAAAATATTGAATATTTTATTCAATAAATATTATTTCTAAAAAATTTAAAAAATAAATAGAATATGTCCCTGTGTCACTGTTTATGTATTCACACGTGTTCCTATTCCAGCTATGACACTGAGGGGAAGCTGACTAATGTGACTTTCCCCACCGGAGTGGTGAGCAGCCTGGTCAGCGATGTGGGAACCCTCTCCACAGTGGAAATAGAAAGCTCAGAACGAGAAGAGCAGGCCACCGTCACCTCCAACCAGTCTGCCATTCAGACTGTGCTTACTCTACAGCAGGGTCAGCTTTCCGCTCCACAAACTATGACCAAATTAGTCTCCTTAACCCCAAATGTAATCAATCAACCACGACATGTTCGGTGTCTGAAATTTGATTCCTAGGTTTTAGCACTGGAGCTACAAGGCCAATGTAGCTAACAGGTAATGGAATCTAATTAGCATCATCAATTAGCTTGTCGAGTAATCTCTGATAGACTTAATTACATAGTGTCTGACTTTGTATGACTCACTGTTATCAATAAACATGGACGACATTGTCTTGGTCATTCGATTACATTTAAGGTAAGGTGATAAAATGTGTACGTCTGATATACCCCACACTCTTCCTCTAAAGAAACTCTTCATTTTTATCTGTCACCTTTCACCTGTGTTGCAGATCAGTTAAGGACCAGCTATGTGTTGGGTTATGACAGCTCCCTGTGGGTCCTGCATGCCAGCGGCCTGAACACACACTTCCAGACTGAACCCCACATCCTGTGTGGAGCTTCGTCCCCCACAGTGGCCAGAAGGAACATCACTCTGCCAGACGACGCTGGACAGAACCTGGTGGAGTGGCGCTTCAGGAAGGAGCAAACGCGCTCTAAAGTCACAGTGTTCGGACGCAAATTACGAGTGAGTCATGAGAACCAAACGCTTCTGTTAGGGCTGTTATCAAATGAATTATGAAGCATTTTCTATAGAAAACTGAAATGTAGGAGTGTTGATTGAGGTTGTTTATGAACTAACATTTCCTATTCTAGTGTATAGGTGCATTTATTAACGTTGTTTATAAACTACTTTGTCCTGTTTCAGTGTATAGGCACATTTATTAACGTTGTTTATGGACTAAAATCTATTCTAGTTTATAGAAGCATTTATTGATGTTTATGAACTAATATCTCCAGATTTAGTGTATAGGAGTGTTTATTGAGGTTGTTCATGCACTAATATGTCTAAATCTAGGGACTGAACTGTAATACTTACATTATCATGTAAAACAAAACAACTTGCACAAGCAGAAAGGCATTAACGATCTGACAGGACCCATAAGATATGACTGCTATGAAAATTTTGTTTTTTAATCAGTTCTGAGTAAGTCTGCAGATGTAGTAATGTTTTCTGCACTCATTCCTGAGAGTCTGATTAAGTTTGGGCTGAACGTTTTAACCTTGCTGCTCCTCTTCTCATAAATAATACAAACTGAACATAATCATATTGAATTAATAGAGCCAGCAACCAATTTTCTGGTTTCTGGTTTCTGGTTTCCTTATTTCACTGAAATAACATTTTCATTTCTTCTTCTTTTCCACTTGTTCTTACAGGTGAATGGCCGGAACATCCTGTCTGTTGATTATGACCGTACTCTGAGGACGGAGCGTATCTATGATGACCACCGTAAGTTCCTGCTGAAGATTGGATATGACCCAGCTGGCCAGCCTGCACTGTGGATGCCTAGCAGCAAGCTGCTGCCGGTCAACCTGACCCGCAGAAGCAACGGACAGCTTAGCGCCATCCAGTGGGGGGCAGTGTCAGAGCGGCTGGAGCATGACGAGCAAGGCCGCGTACGCTCCAGATTGTTTCCAGATGGGAAGACCTGGAGCTACACGTACCTGGAAAAGGTTAGAAACCAGACCAGTCTTACTGGTTTGCAGTTTTGAACTCTGTTCCATGATTCCTTGCGTCATGTTTGATATTGATAATAATTTATACTTATGTATTTCTTAATGCTCAAGCCTTAAGAAGAAAAGACATCTGGTTTGATATAAGGTGACCAGATTTTTAAAATGAAGACCATGGACATTGCCAGTTCTGTCAATATGCCATTAAAATGTCCAATGTATTATCTATGAAATAATAATAATCTCCTGTAATAAACTATGGTGAAGGCCGACTGATGCTTAGTTGGGTACTAACTAAGTAACTTTGTAAGCCTTGTTAGAAAATGGTACAGTAGCTTACCATGGTAACCATGGTCCTATAAAAGATTTAGATTTCTTGCTTTCCCCCTTTCATGATTTGTGCTTTTGAAAATAAAGTTGCTAGGCAAAAAGGGTCTCAAAAGTCACTAAGTCTAGCGGCTCAGGAAGGGATGAGGCAGGGATATGATTACCACAAAATATTGAATGGTCGTATAAGCAAGTAATTCTTATTTATATTAATTATTTGGCAGTAAACAGAGACCCATGGCTCTAGCCCAGTAGCCAGACCCTAAACTCACCCCAAGGCAGCTCCAGTTCTGGAGAGACAGAGATGCTGCTATCAGCATATGCCATATGTCATATACGGATGGCTGAAAATGTGACGCATTTAAAAAAAATTATGCACTATTTGTTGACTGTTTGGTAGCTAAATGTAAGTCGATTGTACGCCTATATAAATCAGATAGCATACCACTCACATGGTAGCATGATTTGCATCCTGTAATCCAACGCTGCTTTAATCCCTGCTTCACCTATTGTCTTGAAAAGACATTTATGATGATGTTGTGGACATTTGCTAGCTTCTGGTCGAGTTTCACACAGCAGTGTTCTCTTAAACCAGGTAAGTGAGTGATAGAAGTGGTCAGTAGATAGCAGCAGCAGCCCCCTCTGCTGGGCAAAACAAGCACAATGCGAGACTTCTGCCCATCTCCTTGGCAGCAGGTCTTTCTTAGGACTTTCCGATGTTTTTCCAAATTACAGTTAAAAATGGGGAGATTTCTGGGGACAGCCGTGGACAGGCACCAGAAATGATGACTGTTCCCAAAAAACAGGCATGTCTGGTCACCCTAATTTAAGAAAAAATCTCTTTGCTCTCCACAATTTCGGTACCGAAATAGCTAGCTAACTTTGCTACTGAAAATTAGCAATGCTAACTAACTGCTAACTGAAAAAGATAATACTAGCTAACTGCACTGACTGAAAATAGCTAATGCTAGCAAACTCTGCAAACTATCCTGCTGATGCTGTTGTAAATGAATGGCTAGACTCTTTCTTTCTCCTTGTCTTGCTAGTCAAATTATGCCACCTAGTATACCAAAGTAGCAATTGTTCAGCCCTTTGTTGCTAAGTTTGCTGAACAGAATGACATAATTATTTAATTAAAAATGTTTCAAAGACACATTATCAATAAAAAAAAAAGATATTTTTATGTTCTTTGTCGCTCAAGCTGATTCTATATAATAACAATCTGTTTTTGTGCTTGTCCCAGTCCATGGTGCTAATCCTGGCCAGTCAGCGTCAGTACACATTTGAGTATGACTCCGAAGGTGGGCTTTCAGCGGTCACCATGCCCAGTGTGGCCCGATACACCATGGAGACGGTCCGCTCAGTAACCTACTACCGCAACTTTTACCATCCACCAGAAAGCAATGCATCTGTTGCTGTAGATTACAGTGAGGATGGCAGACTGATCAGAGTTTTGCAGACCGGCACTGGACGGAGGGTACTTTACCGCTACCGCTGGCACAGCAAACTTGCAGAAGTGTTGTTTGATAGCACTCGCGTCAGCTTTACCTATGACGAGATGGCGGGAGTGTTAAAGACAGTCAACCTGCAGAGCGAAGGCTTCATCTGCACCATCAGGTACAGGCAACTAGGCCCCCTTGTGGACAGGCAGATATATCGCTTCAGTGAGGATGGCATGGTCAGTGCCCGCTTTGACTACGCCTATGACGGAAGTTTGCGAGTTACCAGTATCCAGGGTGTCATCAATGAGACACCACTACCCATTGACCTCTATCAGTACGATGACATCTCGGGTAAAGTGGAACAATTTGGCAAGTTTGGTGTCATCTATTACGACATTAACCAGATCATATCGACCTCGGTCATGACCTACACCAAACATTTCGATGGCCACGGAAGGATCCGAGAAATCCAGTATGAGCTTTTCCGCACCTTGCTCTTCTGGATTGCGGTGCAGTATGACGACATGGGCAGGGTGACCTACAGAGAGATGAAAATTGGCCCATTTGCAAATGCCACCAAGTATGGTTACGAGTACGACGTGGATGGCCAGCTTCAGGCTGTCTACTTAAACGATAAGTTGACCTGGCGCTACAGCTACGACTTGAATGGAAATATCCACCTGCTAAGTCCGGCTAGCAATGCCCGGATACTTCCTTTGCGCTACGACTTGCGGGATCGGATCACCAGACTGGGCGACCTTCAGTACGAAATGGACGAAGATGGCTTCCTGCGGCAAAGAGGGGCTGAGGTCTTCCAGTACAACTCAAATGGACTACTTGAGCGTGTCTACAGCAAGGCTAATGGCTGGACGGTCCAGTACCGCTATGATGGTTTAGGAAGGAGGGTTTCCACCAAGTCCAGCCTTGGCCAGCACTTGCAGTTTTTCTATGCGGATCTCAGCTATCCAAGTCGGATAACTCACGTGTATAACCACTCAAGCACAGAAATCACATCTCTGTACTACGACTTGCAAGGACACCTGTTTGCTATGGAGATTAGCAGTGGAGCAGAGTTCTACATATCATGTGACAACACGGGCACCCCACTGGCCGTTTTTGGCAGCGATGGAGCCCTTATGAAGCAGGTTCATTACACCGCCTATGGAGAAATCTACTCTGACTCTAATCCTGATCTTCAGCTGGTCCTGGGCTTCCACGGAGGCCTTCATGACCCGCTAACCAAACTGATTCATTTTGGAACACGAGATTATGACATCATGTCAGGTCGCTGGACCGCACCTGATGTTACAGTATGGGAAAGGATGAACAAAGACCCCGTCCCCTTTAATCTCTACATGTTCCGCAATAATGACCCCGTCAGTAAAGTGCTGGATGTGAGAGACTATATCACAGGTAAGCCATCAACTCAGCATATGTACATATGCTGCCTGTTAAAAATTTGGAGACGCCTGGATTTTTAAACCACCTTTGGACCAAAAGAGTTTAATATGAGCTTCTAAAAAAAGTTTGGGAAAGTAAACAGTCAAATCATTACTTAAGCAAAACCTACTTCTCAAACTAACAAACATAGTTTGATGAGTACGAAACTGAGTGCTGAAGATAAATATACCCAAAAGAATAGCATAGAGCAGCTTTATGCTACATAAAATTGAACAGTGAGAATATTTCGATTTTAAAAGAAGACATGGTGTTCTCAGATTGTTGATGTGCAGTTTATGGCAGTCTGTGTTAATCGAAAGTTATCTTGGATTGGATTTTTTTTCACTGATGTATTATCGTCTTTCTGACAGATGTGAACAGCTGGCTGGTCACATTTGGGTTCCATCTGCACAACAGCATCCCTGGTTTTCCTGTACCGAAGTTTGGGATGACCCAAGCCTCTTATGAACTGACCAAGACTGATGTCTGGGATGATCTGCCGGTATGCTATTCTGGAGGATTTGCTATTCAATTGTATGTTATTACAGTGAAATTCAAACTAGTTATTTTAATTGCATTGTTTCATAATGGGTCAATATTTCCTCGAAAACAGTATGTGTCTTTAAGTCTTTATTTATATTTATACCAGTCTTTATTTATTTATTTTCCAGTCAAATTAGCCATGAAGTAGCAGTTATTCATTTTGAACATTAAATATATAATCAGATGTTTCAGTATTTAGTGTTTCCACTCTACAGCTTCCATTCTTTTCAGGAGACTCACTTTCAGTTTCTCAAAGAAATCTGCAGACACACCTCCAAAGTTCAGCATTTTCTGATTCTCACCATCCAAGTAATTCCAAACATGTACAACAATGATAGATGATGGGGGACTGGACTCACTGGGGTGGTCAGTCTACTGTTCAGCTTCTTTGTTTGATGTGTCTGTCTCCTTTTCTCAGTAAGGGCTTCTTGATAGCTACATATCCTTTCAGACCCATAGCGCTGAGTTGTCTTCTCACAGTGGAAGTATGGACAGAAACACCTGTGGATTTTTTCAGATCTGAAGCAGCTTAATTTTTTCCTCTCTCTCAAAGAAGCTTTAAGTTCTGCCTTATGCAAGTGGATTGTTTTGTATCTAATCTCCTCAAAAATATCTCCTGGAAAATGAATAACTTGTACTTAATGGACGTTTTGACTGGAATTTCAGTCAATTCTGCACTTTCAAAAGAAATTCTCGGCTTGCTTGAGTTGTGAAAAATAATTAAATGTAAGAAGAGGCCTTGAAGAACCTGGAGGTGGGGGGGGGGTTAATGCTTTGAGCTATCTCTTGATTTGGCACTGACTTAAAATATTCTTTTTCAGGCCAGTTTTGCAATCCAGCAGCAAGTCGTCCGGCAGGCCAGAGCTTTCCTTGCCTTTGAGCGGATGCCACAGGCCCAGTTGAGCCAGACTCGGAGGCTGGACAGACCATGGCTGTGGTTCGCCTCCAGCGATTCTCTGATTGGCAAGGGAGTGATGCTCGCCATCTACAGAGGAACAGTGGTCACTCGGGCCCTCAGCATAGCCAACGAAGACTGCGTCAAAGTGGCAAACATCCTTAACGGCGCCCTCTACCTGAAGGACCTGCACTTTCTTTTAGACGGTCGTGATACGCACTACTTTGTGAAGACGGGCGCACCCGAAGCAGATCTGGCAGCTTTGCGTCTTACGACAGGCCGAAAAGAGCTGGAGAATGGTGTAAACGTGACTGTATCTCAATCCACCACTGTGCTAGCGGGCCGCACACGACGTTTTGCGGATGTGGAGTTGAGGCAAGGGTCACTAGCGCTGCATATACGCTATGGAGCGACGCTGGAAGAAGAACGAGTGCGTGTGCTGGAGTTAGCACGCCAGAGGGCGTTGGCAGGTGCTTGGGCACGCGAGCTGCAGCGCGTGAAGGATGGAGAAGTGGGCATGAGGCTGTGGACGGAAGGAGAGAAAAGGCAGCTGCTCAGCGGGGGACGAGTTCAGGGATACGACGGATATTATGTTCTCTCGGTGGAACAGTACCCCGAGCTGGCTGACAGCGTGAACAACATCCAGTTCCTCCGACAGAACGAGATAGGAAAGAGATAGCAGCAGAAAGACTAACATATCAACTGCTGTTTTTAATGAGGGACTAGCAAAAGTGTCTTGTTTAAAGACAGCCTGTAGTATTAAGGAGAATTTCAGTGATTTTTCAACATTTCTGCATAATTCAGTGTTTGAGATGTAAACAGAGTCATTCAGATTGGTTTGGTGTGAAATGGTTGATTGTAGGAACCAAGCATCACCATGACTACAACACAAATGTAGCCATTTTTTTTACCATCCAAAACCACCAGTGAACCAACACGTGTCTTCTGAGTTTTATATGGAACGTTGATGATGGTAAAATAGTGGAACATCTGACAATAGTAAACTTTCTTTGGGGATTATTTTGCCTCAGAACATGGATCAGAAAATGGATTTTAAGGCCAAAATCTTCTCATAACTACTGTAAAACAATGTCTCAGACATCAGGCAGTGAATTCATAACCATTTCATGTAATAACTTTCTATGAGGGAGCTTTCAAAGGGATTCAGCTCTTCAGACTTGTGGTTCTGACTTTGTTTGCATCTTAAGCATCTTAATTATGCAGAAATTATGCAGAAAATTATGCAGAAAAATGGAAAATTCTTCTTTAAGAGGGAGCTGGTGGCAAAAGAAGTGTATATGTATATATATATACACATAAAAAAAGGGTTAAAACAACGCTGTGCGTTGTGGAATGTTAGTCCGTTACAACCTATTTTTATTTTAAAGCCTTATCGAGGCCAAAACTGTGGAGCACAATGAAGAATATTGTGAACTCTCTCAGAGTCTAAGGACTGGCCAGGATTCTAAAAATGTTAATACATTTATCTGACTATTTATTAAATATTCATTTTATCAAGCACCCTTAAAATATCTGCTGAAAGAGAGTTGAATAATTTAATAGAGCTGAGAAAATGAAAATGTTTACATATGCATATCTCTGCACCACTGGAAGAAAACCACAAATGAAGTTTTGTTATTGTACTCAGTTTTCCATAATTGTTTTTTTGTTTGTTTTTCTATTTTTTTCTGCTAGTTTCAGTGTTACTGTACTGTAAAATGTAACGTGCAAAATTTTGTGGGGTTTGTCGGAGCCCTGCTTTTTAGAGGAAAGTTTTGTTTGTTTATTTATTTATTTATTTGCTTTGTATTCCCATTTTTTATCCATGGCAAATCACATTTGACAAATTGATCAGATGCTATTGTGGTACAAATTTTATGGTATAGCAAATGAATAATATAAAGTATAATTAAGCATAAGGAAACAGCACAGCACAATAAATCTATACGTGTGTGTGTATTTATGTAAATGAGTGTTTACCTGCATTTTTTTATTATAAATATTTAACTGCTCATTTGGTTACAGCCGCTCATGGAGCAAACAGAAGTTTTGTTTATACTTAACAAATAAAAAGTGAAATGACTACTTTTTTGCTTGTTATGTGCCGTTACAGAAGGTCATTCTTGTTCATACAGTGTCTCTAGATGAACTACATATTACATAATAAGATATTACATATTACATGATAGCCTTGTACTAGAAACATATGGTATAGCTTAAATAATTCATATTCTGTTAATATATGGTGGTCTGTTGTAATGCAGTGAGAGGCGTAAGTATCCAAACACTAAAGTAGTGATTTATTTTATTATTGCATATTCATAGATTTAAATTACAGAATCTTATGCAAGATGAATGTTATGTAAGATACAGGATGAACATTATTTTTCATACATGTTGGAAAGTTATTTGAGTTCAGTGTCTCACATGAATATAAGCTTTATTTGAGTTCTAAACCACGTACATGGTTTAGTTTCCTCTAAACAAGTGAAATTCTAAACTAGATTTACATCAGAGCACTGTAATAATAATAATAATAATAATGATAATAATAATAATAATAATAATGGTCACCCTTTATTTTGATGATCCCCAGTAGATGATCTACAGATGCTTAAACTGTTAAACTATCTGGTGAAACTCGTTGATTAGTATTAGGATTAGAATTAGGTTTAGAGGTTAGGATTAGGTTTACGGTTGATTTTTAGATTAGGATTAAGTTTAGGATTAGATTTAGGTGGGGTTCTAGTCAGGAGATTGGTTAGACCATGAAATAATAATAGTAATAATAATAATAATAATCACACTCTAGTTTGACGGTCCCCAGTAGATGATCTACAGATGCTTAAATTGTTACACTATCTGGTTAATTAGTATCAGGATTAGAATTAGATTTAGAAATTAGGATTAGGATTTGGGTTGAAGTTAAGATTATGGTTTAGGCCTAGATTTTGGGTTGATGTTAAGGTTAGAGTCTAAGATCAGATTTTGGGCTGAAGTTAAGGTTACGGACTAAGATTAGGTTTTGGGTCAAAGTTAAGGTTAGAGACTAAGATTTGGTTTTGGGCTAAAATTAAGGTTAGAGCCTAGGACTAGGTTTTGGGTTGATGTTAAGGTTAGATGCTAAAATTAGGTTTTGGATTGAAGTTAAGTTTAGGATTAAGTTAAGTTAGGACCATACACCTTCACCTTCTTCTTGTAGAAAGCAGTCTTGAGTTATTCTGACTCAATGTTTGGGTCGATGTCTTGTTTAAATGTTCAACTTCTCCTCAGAGTCAGTTTCTTGCCCAATGAGATTAAATTCTCCTCTAATATCTCCTGGTAAATTGCTCTATTCATGTTTCTTTGATGGCTTTTAATGCTTCAGGACCGTTTTCAGAGAAGCAGCCCCATAGCATGATGCTCTGACCTTCATACTTCACTGTAGGTGCAGGGAGAGCTGACAGCTTTTCTTTGGTCAAGAAAGTGACCATTGATGAAGGGCTAGAGGACAGCAAAACTAAAAGGACATACCATACTGTGTGTCACCTCTAAGAGTACATTCATGTTATTCCTAAGACAATCCATCTAAATACAAAATACATCAATATATGCCTTATTTGAGTTTGTGTGAGATTCTCTGTGATGGAAATGGTTATTTTAGCTTTGTTGAAGTTTTAAAAAGCACTGAATTTATTTAAAAAACTGCAGCAACCCTGAAACTCCAGTGGCTTCAATCCATCACATTCACAGCCCTTTATATCCACAGTTGAATGAACTTGAAGCAGTTGAGCAATGCCAAACACCTCTTATTCATTTTAACAGTTATGCTTAGCAGAACCCCAAAAAAATTATCCAACATAAACTTGTATTGAATAAAATAGCCAGTAATGAAGCTGACATTCTGTACTTTAACATTTTGATACAAATTTCATGAAAAAAAATGATAAAAAAAAGAAAGAAAGAAAAAAAGAAATGTTTTCATTCTCTACACTAATAGGGTGACAAAACTTTTGTCTTAGGGGTACAATGGGAAATGTTTATGGTGGGCTAAGAGCCAAAAAGTATACAAATAAAAAAAAGTATATAGCGTTACACTATATTTTGTTACTAAAATACTTCAAAAAGACAACTAAAAGAAAAATAAGAGAAAAATCTATAAGATATTAAATTATATTTGGTATACATATGTTTGCTCTCTCATTGGTTGGGGCGTAGAGTAACTTCCTTTCAGGCCAAATCAGATGACCTTATGGGCCCTTTGGGCTGTTCTGTATCTACTCCTCACTGTGCATGTTGAGGACAATGAGTCTATAATCTAAAATACAGAAACACACAAAACATTCTCAGTTTCTACTTTGAATCAGAGAGCACAATACTGGAGTACTTTGAAGTTAGATGAGAGGGCACGACGGAATTAACTTTCAAACTTGGGAGAGTTTTTGTCGACATAACGCGCGCTTAATCCCGCAGAGTAAATCTCCTCCAAACTTGGCCGCTTTCATCTGGGCTACAGAGGGAGGGAGTCTCGCACAAACCTCCAGACTCCCACTGATTGAGAAATAACGGCTTCATATCCAAAAAATAACTAATGAATGATCAAAGGGAGGAATACCGGCATAACACACTTTACCATACTGCAGAATACGCATATGACTTTTATCCTTTCCGCCCACTTGGAGATATATGACGGAAAGGAAAGTTAGCAAGCATTCAACATCACTGCATTATAGTGTGCTGTACTTTATTATACTGTATTATACTGAATAACAGTGCACTAAGATTTGTGTGTGTATATATACATACCTGTTAATGATTGAATTCAGGTGTTTCATTCAGTCTCGTCACCACAGGTCTAAAGAGCTCACTGAATTCGAGCATGGTACTGTAATACCAGTAAAGTTTGTGATATTTCTTTCCACGTAGATATTCCACAATCAACTGTGGGTGGTACTATTGAAAAGTGGAAGCATTTAGGAACCACAGCAACTCAGACCACGTAAAGAGTGGGTCGCCAAGTGCTTAGGCGTATAGAGCATAAAAGTCACTAACGCTCTACTAATTCAGTAACTGCAGAGTTCCAAACCTCCTCTGGCTTTAACATCAGCACAACAACTGTGTGCCGGGAGGTTCATTGCATGGGTTTCCATGGATGAGCAGCTGCATGCAGACCTTAGATGACCAGGCACAATGCCAAGCATCAGATGGAGTGGTGTAAAGCATGCTGCCACTGGACTCTGGAGCAGTGGAAACGTATTCTGACGAATCACGATCAGGCCATCTGATGGACGAGTCTGGGTTTGGTGAATGCCAGGAGAACATGACCTGCCTTACTGCACTGTGCCAACTGTAAAGTTTGGTGGAGGAGGGATGATGCTATGGGGTTGTTTTTCAGGGGTTGGCCTAGGCTCCTTAGTTCCAGTGAAGGAAAATCTTAATGCTTCATTATACCGAGACATGTCCCCTGTTTGTGCCCCTGTGCGCAAAGAGAGCTCCGTAAAGACATGGTGTGATGAGTTTGGGGTGGAGCAACTTAAGTGCCCTGCACAGAGCGCCGCTGAACGCCTTTGAGATGAACTAGAATAGAGATTGTGAGCCAGGCCCTCCAATTTCAATGCCTGACCTCACAAATGATCTTCTGGATGAATGAGTAAAACTTCCCAGAGACACACTCCAAAATCTTGCAGAAAACTTCTCAGAAGAGTGGAAGCTGTTATAGCCTCAAAAGGGGGGGACCTACTTTATATTGATGTCTATGGA